CACATTTCAATTATTATACATTATATATGTATAAACATGAATACTATTTACAAATACATTTTTAAAATTTATTTTCTTAAAACATAAAACAATAAATAAAGAAGTAGAGCAAATAATTATCTCTTCTAGTTACGATCTTTGTACTCGTTTGTTGCTTGTCATAGGTTGCTAAGCCTTATGAAATTTCCCACATGGAGGATGTGAAAAGAAAACTGTTTATTTATCGTTGAATCTATTGCTAACAAGTCACAGACACCTACTGTAGAAGAACCCTAAGCCCAACAACTATATAGTATAGCCATTTATTTCAACAGTTGGTAAAAAAACCAGAACCCATATAGATATACAATATTATTTTTTAATTCTGACAATTACACTTTTTGTTTGCGCTCTCTTCCTGTTTTTTTTGTTTTGAATGTCATACAAAGTGGAAATATTTTTCTATTTCCTTTTTCTACTTCACTTTAATAGTTTTATGTGAAAACTTTATTATTTTAACTTTTTTTTTTTATGGTTTTCAACAAAGTTTTTTACCATTTGAAAATTGATATCATTTACTTCCTGTACAATTACATAGACTTCATGTGGTGGTACTACACTGAGGAATTGTCTGCCTTAATTCTTGTTATATGAGTTGACCGATTTGAAAGTGCTTAAGTTTTGGTTCTTATTTGAAGTTTATTACACATTATATGTGATCCTTTGTGCTAACTCTTTTATCAAGATATCTAACTGACCTGGTCTTTCCACACATTGTACAGAAAGAACTAAATATAATTCTGCACTCAACCTGACTCATGCCCACTGTCTTTGGTCATGTTAACCCATTACACTGTCTCTTTATGAGGACTGAAGTCCAGTGATTGTGCCTGATGACAGTGGTCCATGCACAGTCTAATTCTGCCATTACTTCAAGTATAAGAATGCCAGTGAAAGCACCATTTTAGACATATTTTATCTCAAAGTTTGCCTTAGACATTAATGATGGTGATACTGTCCAAATTAAATATGATTTTTGGCTTTTAACTGGTTATAGTTTTTGGTTTTAACCCTGTTTGTTAAAAACAAAATGAAGACAATATTTGTTATATATTTGCTAATCCACTTTTTTCACTTATTTTGTTTTTATCAACTGTGTATTACCCAATGTTTTCTGCAGATATCTCTGAAGTTCAGTATTGTTACGTCTCTGGTGGTTAGTTAATTTTCCCTAAAAATTTTTCCGAAGAAACTTTAGCGATACAAGTCCTTTCTTAAATAAAACTAGTTTATTCTTTCACAATACAACTTTGCAATACACTTAATTTCCACAGTCACGCTATAACTTAAACAAACACTATAATTCACAATGAACGAACGATTCACGCGCTTGACTCAATTGTCGTCTCTATCTCTGTCTGCAATTCAATTACCATTTGATTCGTCTCTCGTTAACCGGTGCACTTATATACAGGAATAGAGGGCGCCTAACACATACTGGATTATTCGTGATGTTCCCCGATCCATCGAGAATATCATGACTTGTTACCAGAGTCATGTGACTACCACTGTTGTAACAATATTTTTATTTTCAGTTTGGGTAAATAAGAAAGTCATTCTTGAGCCTTTCCTGTTGAATAATTTATTGTTTCAATGTGTTGTATGTCAATTTTTTGTTTGAATATAGAATCAGACATAAAATATGTAGTATTTATATAGTTTAAGACTGCTTACCTACATAACTAAATTTGAAATATTAGGTTTATTAATCATATCATCATATTTTAAGTTAGTAAACTGTGGAGAGTGTATGTAATATTAACACTAGTTGTTATTTCTATTAACCCTTTGTTTGATTTTAGAACATGTCTGTTCAAGTGAAAATGGAACAGCCTGGTGATCTACTACAAGATGTTTCAAAGTTCAGTTGCAGTGATGATGAGAATCAGAATAGTTCATTCTATAATGCTATGAACCTAAAAACAGAGACTGAATTTCAAAGAGAGATTGAATCAGGGTTAGAAAGAACATGTGGTAAGTACAGACTTCACCGAAAACTTAAGTTTCTTGACACTGGCTCAACACTTACCAACAGACTTGATTGGTATAACTGATTTTGTAACTCTACAGTAAACATAATAAAAAAAAACATAAGGGTTTTATACCATGTCTTCATGAAATTCTTTAAACCTAAGTAGTATTTTGTACACAAAAACTCTGGTGTTTAATTACGTATCTTTACTGAAAATGTGTTCATGAATATAGGGAGTTAGTGTGTTAACTACTCCAATTGCAAAGTGATTTTCTTCTTAAGATTTTAAATACTTTCTTCATCTTAAAGTTATCAAATTTCGTTTGAGTAATTTCTAAAATATCGTAAATAAATATCAAATGATTTTTCAGTAAAATTATATTTTGAGTGTTATATTATTTACATTATCTCTATACACAATCCTTTGATTTGACTAACCTTGTAATCACCATACAAAAATACATTTCTTTCTTTCTAGAATGGCTTCAAGCTGTAACATGAAACTACAGTTTCTTTATGTCAAATACCTTAAAAGATATTGAATCAAACACAGTAGCCCTGCTTTCTCTTTCCATTTTTTGGAAATGCTCCCTTACTTCAATATATGACATGAATAATAAATCACAAGCTAGTGGTTTTCTCAGCCATTTTGATGTGTTATTGTGGTAAGATCCTTCATTTCAATATTTCAAACGATAAGTCTTCAGTGAGCTCAAAATTTCATATTTTTTGGACCCAAATACTACTTAGTTACTACACATGATAAATTATAGTGGAATTCAATACTATCAATATAGTAATTTATTATTTTTTGGTTACTTAGAATATTTATATAAAACCTAAAAAAACACACACACTTTACTTGTTTTCAAATGATATATATATTATGAATATATGAAACATATGTACAATAAAGTATTCACACTATAAACAATATAAGCATATCGTAAACGTCATATCAGTAGATGTATAGTTCTCTTCTTGTCAGAAGTCCACTAAAGCCTGTTCAATTATTTTGAAAATAGTTTGGCTTGTCAACTGAGATTCTTCTAATACTATCACAATATTAGTCTGGTGTGATTCACATACGATTGTGGCGCGAATGACCGTAATCGTTTGGTCTTCTTTCTTCGAAATATCCTCTGTTCCTTTTGTCAAAGTGTACTCGGGCTGATTCAATTACTTTAGAACCACGCTTTGACGGATTAAATTATTTTTCTTAAATCCTTTTCTACTGTTAGTCTTAGTCTAACATATTAAACGTTAGGCATATGTTAATCGTTAGGCCTATCACTTCTCGGGTAGTTAACTTCACGCCGAACTTTTCCTTACCTGTAACTTTACTCTCTTCTGCTATTGTCTGTCTACTGTTTCCGATCGTCCACACTGTTTATATGTTTATCAATTAATCGTCTGCCCACCTTCTAGAAATCTCTATATTCTCGACGTTCGATAGCTTAGCATCAATGAATTATAAACACAACTTCCTACAATCCTCTGCTTTTAACTCTTATTATAACGAAAAACTAAACAATAATAAAATATTCACTCACAAAATAAATTAATCAATAATATCCAAACTAAACAGTCTTTAATATCATGACATATAGCTTTGTACTAAAAGAACAACAACAACAACACCAGTTCATACAGATTTTTCCTTTAGGAATTATTTTCTGGTGATGAGTTGTTTTGTATATCTTTCTTTCAAACTCTGTCTTAGATTTCTTCCTTCTGTCAAGTCAAGCTAAAAGTTATGAGTACTCTCGTGTGAGTTCTCGGGATTTAGTGCATTGATTTAATCTCCAGCTTGCGTTGAAAGTAAACATTTAAGGAACTCGTTTTCCTTGAATTCGAATGATTTGATCAGCTAATCTGGAACGAAGAAATGACACATCGATGATTTGACGATAAGGCAGGAAAATCCAAGCACTTGGAGCTTTGTATGGTGCAGAATAACGAAATAAAACCAACTAATGAACTAAAATGTACGTACTTTATTTATTTTAAGTTTGAAGGTATACGTTATAGAGGGATGTCAATATAAACCTCAAAATGTCAGTTCATTCATTCTTATTACGTCATATTCACACGTGACACCCTATTTTACCACTATTGGCTGTCATTAAATACTATAATATAACATTTTCTGTGAGGTATGACATTTCACAATGTCTCATCTCATTTTACAGGCTTCACTTTGTTTGTTTGTAATTAAGCGCAAAGCTACACAATGGGCTATCTGTGCTCTGCCCACCACGGGTATCGAAACCCGGATTCTAGCGTTGTAAGTCCGCAAACATACCGCTGGGCCACTGGGGGGCGCTTCACTTTGTAATTGGACATTTCGCGTGTTTCACACTGCCACGCGTTGGGTTAGTGTTTAGTGTTGTTGGTACTGATGTGTTCGCGTTGCTAGTAGTGTTAATGTTATTAGCGATTATATCTTCGTGTTGTTAGTTATTGATTGTGTTATGTTCGTATTATTAACAGTATTGTGTTGATGTTGATAGTAGTGTTATATTCATGCTTCCCCTTTTTATGTTCATGTTGTTAGTAGTGTTATATTCATGCTTCCTCTCTTTATGTTCATGTTGTTAGTAGTGTTATGTTCATGCTACCCCTCTTTATGTTCATGTTGTTAGTAGTGTTATGTTCATGCTACCCCTCTTTATGTTCATGTTGTTAGTAGTGTTATGTTCATGCTACCCACTCTTTATGTTCATGTTGTTAGTAGTGTTATGTTGATGTTACCCCCTCTTTATGTTCATGTTGTTAGTAGTGTTATGTTCATGCTACCAACTCTTTATGTTCACATTGTTAGTAGTGTTATGTTCATGCTACCCCCTCTTTATGTTCATGTTGTTAGTAGTGTTATGTTCATGCTACCAACTCTTTATGTTCATGTTGTTAGTAGTGTTATGTTCATGCTACCCCTCTTTATGTTCATGTTGGTAGTAGGGTTATGTTCATGCTACCCCTCTTTATGTTCATGTTGGTAGTAGGGTT